CCTGAAGACAATGGGTGAGACCTCCTGTAAAGAGGTTAGCTGTGCTTGCACAGACCCTGGCTTTCTTCAGCTGCTTTGTAGCCCACTGTCACCAAGATGGTGCTTTTGAGGTCCAGGAAAGGCACGCTCCCAGAAACTTGCCTACTCCAAAAGAAGCATAAACCTTTCTTTCCCGAAAATATCTTCTTACTGCATCGAGTCTAACCTGGGTCATCTATCCAAGGCTGAGAAACAAGATAAAGGAGAAAACAATTAACAAAAAATCCATTTGACTTCTACCTACTAAGTTGAGCTTGAGAAAAAGCCAGGTGTGAAGGGTTCCATTCCTGCTACTAGCAATGGGTCTGAAGTTCACACAAAGGACAGTTGCTCTAAGGTCCCCCCAGAGAGCTCCTTGTGACTCAGAAAAGAAATGTCTGTCTCCATCCAGGACTTGATTCTGACTTAGGCAGTCTGAGTTCCTGGAAAGCCTGTGTTGATTCCCAAATGGATCTCTTCTTTTATTAAACTCAGCTACTGTGGTCTTTAACTGCACTAAATCAGCCTGCACCGGTACCATCTCAAACCAGCCATGGGGAATACTGAAGTTTTCATCATTCCTGGTCATCTTTTAGTTCCAGGGGGTGATTCTTATCTTTTGCCACACTGGGCCCCAGTATATTTGGGGTTCAATGTGGACCTATCCCTATTTCACAACCCGAGCTCTGCCCAGTACAGGGTTGGAAGAGGTATGCCCACAGGAAAAAAGAAAAGAAAGCAGATTGTGAAAAAGCATGTGTTTGTCCTAATGCCCAATGCCAGGCAGCCTAGGTGGGCCACTCCGTGGCTCAGGTGATTGTGGAGACCAAGCTGCCATATTGGGAAAGAAAGGACAGTCTTGCCTGGCTTGCTGATCCATGTGATAGATGGGAGGAAGCAGAAGAAAACCCTCTGTGTGGGTGCAGGAGGTGAAAGAGACATGGGGCTTGGTTACTGCCTTTAGAGCCTGGTATCATCACCCAGTAGTAAATGTGGTTCAATGTGTGTCTCCTTGGCCATTCAATCAGGTTAGCCAGTCTTCCTTCTTTGGGGGATATATATTAAGTGGGGCCCATATGAAAGAGGGCCTAGATATGTCCTCTTGTTCATTGTTGTTAAAGGTGTTCTCCAATAGGTTGGGGCGCCTGGGTGGCTCAGTCGGTGAAGCGTCTGCCTTCGGCTCAGGTCATGATCCCAGGGTCCTGGGAGTGAGCCCCGTGTCGGGCTCCCTGCTCAGCGGGGAGTCTGCTTCTCCTTCTGCTCCTCCCCCTGCTTGTGCTCTCTCTCTGATAAATAAATAAATAAAATCTTAAAAAAAAAAAGGTATTCTCCAATAGGAAGTGGCTTCTGTCTGGCAGCAAAAAGAATCCCCTTTCTCTGCCCTGTTCTAAACCTCTGTGCTCTGCCCGCTCTCCATATACCAGTAGAACTAAGCCATAAAGCTCACTCAGTGTGTCCCTTAGAAGAGTAACCCCTTAGAAAAGAGACATCCGTAAGGTGGGAGCAAAGAGGACAAACTTAGGAGAAGTTCTGACTGGCAGGAAAGATGAAGAAGAATTCTCAATGGCAAGAGGATGGAAAAAGAGGAGGAAGGTAGCTCCTAGGGGGTGGGCTTAGCATGGGTTCTTCAGGGACCCAGCCTCCCTGTTCCCTTCCCAGGCCTGAGCTCGAAGAAATAAGGCCCTGAAAAGGATAATTCTGAGTCTGAGAAGTCACTGCCAATGCAAGTAACTTGAATCAGCAGAAGGTAACCACCTGTGGCAGAATGGTAATGGCCATGGCCTGGGCTTATGGGATGGGGGAGCCGAAGGTCCTTCTCCTGTCTCTTTGGCTCCTGGCTGGCATGGAAGAGATAGAGACATATATATTTTTAGTTTGTTTTAAAATTCTGTTTGAACCATTTTTTTATTTGCCTATATATGTTTGTAAATCTAGACTTACATAGAAGTTGCTACAATAGTTCAGAGTGAGAAAGAACACCCAGCAGATTCTAGAAATATCTAAGCCCATGCCCTTTATCGGTAGCTACACAGAAAGCAGAGGGCAATATGGCTTTAAGGTCCACCCCTGCCTCTGCCAAACCTTTCCTCTATGTCAAGGTGACATTTAGGCAAGAAGGAGGGGGGAGAAATCTTGAAAGAGCGCATTTCCCCCAAACAGACCGAGTTACCTTTAACTGGCAAGTTTAAATGTCCTTTTTTGCCTCTCCTCCCACAAGAATGAGGACTTGAGAGCAAGGTAAGATGCCTAGAGAATAATCTACACTTAATGTAGCAGCTCTCTTGCAGAGTATTGAGTTACACACCTCACTCTACTTCCGAGACTTACATCCTAAATCTGCACCACCTCCCATATTCAGGACATATTTATTTGGGGACTCACTGCACCAAACACTAGTATTTACTCAAGCCCCATGCCCGTTGGCCCTGGTCTGGGACAGGTGAGCCCCAGTGTGAGTCTTGGACTTGGACGTATTGGAATGGCTCCCCAGCAATGGCTGAGAAACCTTTCCTTCTCGCTCCTGTTGCGAGCCTTAAGTTGAAAGCACTTCATCCTCAGTTACAACTGGGTTGATTTTGCACTTGCATTTCTAAGAGTAGGAATCACGAACCTCACCTTTGTTTTTTGCCTTGTACTTTTTTTTTTCTTTTTTTAAACAGAAGAACAGGGTTATTGGATTAAACGAGAAAGATTCCAACACAAGATAGAAACAGATGTTCAGCCATTGGGATCTGGGCCCTGAAGCCACAGGAAGCTTGGTGAAGGGGCCAACGCACCTCTCTTTAGGCCCCCTTGTGGGCTGGGGTTTAAGGCATTTGGGCTGTGCTCAGTTGTCCTAATTCCATCCTTCGCGGGTAGGGAGCAGGGACATGGAGACCAGGCTGAGTTGTCACATAGGCTCACTCTTGAACTGAGGATTCCCATTCGGTTGAGCCCCAGGCTCACTTTCACTCGAAATGCCTGTGGACAAAGGCCAGGCCTTCCTGGTGACCAATGAGCAAAGAAGTTTGCGGTTGGTCAGGTCGGAGGACAGCGTGGAGGAGCCTCTGGGGAGAGCAGAAGGTGGGGTAGCAGCAGTGCCCCTGGAGGACTCAAGTGAGCTCCGTCTCCAGGCATAATTTTTCCCAGTAGGTTTTTGCTCGCCTTGTTTACTTCCTCAGTAATAGGGCAGAGTGAACTTTCCGCGATGCTAATGTGTAGCCTGGAGTAATCTTGCTTAAAACAATTTGAAGCAATCAATTCAAACATCTAAACATGATCTGACTGGCTGGTTATTTCCGCGGCTTTACCACCCCCAACCCCCCACCCCTCAGCCCCATCTAGCTTGTGTTTGCATCGCCTGTAATGTTCTTTATTTGCAGAGCTCCTTCTTAAGGTGCTTTGTGTGTCATCTCCTTTGGACATTTTCCTTTGTCCCCAGCAGGGCTGGGGACCCTTTATTTTGGCACTATTGATGTGATGTTTTGGGGTGGGGTCCGGGAGTGAACTCTCATGAAAGAATTCTTGAGATGTTTCAGTGCAAAAATGTGGTTTTATTAAAGCACGAGTGTGGTGCCAAAGCGGGGTGTCTCTCGGTCGGATGGGGCCCCCCAAATGTGGGGCGATGATCTGGTGGAGGTCAGTGGTGAGGCCGTGAAAGTATTCACCTGAGGCAGAACAAGGCAATAGAAGTTTGTTGAACACACTGCAAGGAGCGGCTATCTCCAAGGAGGTAGGGGGTGGGGGCTGTTTTTAAAGGGGGAAGATTGTGGACTTTGCTGCTATAAACATTGGGGTGTCCACAATAGCCAAACTATGGAAAGAGCCAAGATGTCCATCGACAGATGAATGGATAAAGAAGATGTGGTGCACGCGCGCGCGCGCGCACACACACACACACACACACACACACACACAAATGGACTATTATGCAGCCATCAAAAGGAATGAAATCTTGCCATTTGCAACAATGTGGATGGAACTGGAGGGTATTATGCTGAGCGAAATAAGTCATTAAGAGAAAGATGTATCATATGATCTCACTGATATGAGGAACTCTTTTTTAAAATTTATTTGACACAGAGAGACACAGCGAGAGAGGGAACACAAGCAGGGGGAGTGGGAGAGGGAGAAGCAGGCTTCCCGCCGAGCAGGGAGCCCAATGCGGGGCTCGATCCCAGGACCCTGAGATCACGACCTGAGCCGAAGGCAGACGCTTAATGACTGAGCCACCCAGGCACCCTGGAGATTTAATTTTTCTACATTTATTTTCCCTTTGTTCTCCACATCACTGTTAGCAGACCTGTGCAGATTTATCATGGTTTAATCATGATGCATTGTTATGAAAGGTTTACCTTTAATAACTTTGAATAGCTCTGGAGGAAATTATTCATCTGGAAACTTGTGCCTACTACCCATAGATGCTTAATAAATGTTAAATGAATGAATTGCAACATATGACCTTTCTCAATATTCAGAAGCAAAGATCATTTAGAAGCACTTGTTAAAAGCTTTTTTTTTTTTTTTTTTCTGCCCCAGAGATTCTACTTTGGGAGGTCAGGGTGAGGGTTCAGGACTCTGTTTTTGACAGTTCTTGGATGATTTTCATGCACGAGATTCATGGATTACATTCTAAGACATCTTTACCCATTGGTAAAGGGTGCCTTTTTTCCTTTGGGGTTTATGTCTGAAAGCTATTTGAGGATAGGGGCTGCCTCCTATTTCTCTAGGCTACTGCCTAAGTCCAGAAATCACTTGTTGAATGAATGACAAAATGGTGGGAGAACGGATGTACGCTTGGTGCCGTGTCAGCCATTTACCACACAGGTCCTAGAGGATCCCATTACTTCTAACAGCGAAAGTGCCCCTTTGAAGTCAAACCTCTTGAGGAGGCTCCCCAACCCCCTGGAAGCACCCTGGACTACATTTCCCAGAGTTCCAAGGGATTCCTGCGCAGGCGCACTTGCAAGACTGCGGCGTCCTTTTCCTTCCCTGAAACCCGCAGGTCACTCCCATCCCCTCCCCTCCAATTCCCCTTTCCTCCGTGTCTCGCAGTGCCCGCTGCAGCTGTTCGGCTGGTGTGTGTGTCTGTCGCAGCAGGCTGGACTCATGGCCTCGCCCCTGCGATTCGACGGGCGGGTGGTGCTGGTCACCGGCGCGGGGGGAGGTGAGCACGCGAAGGCCGGAGGGCGGACGCCGGCCTAGCTCTCGCGCCCGGAGCCCCCCTTTTCGTCCCGGGAAACGCGCGCAGCCGCAGCTGCTGCCCCAGCGTCGGGGCTGCGGGCCCCGTGGGCCGGCGGGGGGAGGCGGCTTGACGAACCAGCCAGTGGTCGGGTGGGCAGGGTGCGAGGACGGGTAACGGCAGCGATCGAGGCGCCGACTCTGCCGAGTTGGGAGAGGGGGGCCTGGCCAGCGTTGAGTCACATAGTCCCGTGCAGCTCCCCGAGGCCCCGGGTCCTGCAAGAGAGAGGCCGGCCTGGGCCGTGGTTGGCGGGACTGGGTCAAAGTTCTCACTGATGCTCGATCGCCTCTCTTCTTGCTTGTCTTAGGCCTCAGTCAAGTAGACTAGACCGCAGAGACCCGTACGCGGCAGGAATCACCCCCAGAGGAGTAGGGATGTCAGCCCCTTGCCTTTGAAAACAGCCGTGCAGCGTTCCGCTTCCTCTTTGGGATGGTTTTAAGTTCTTGAGAGGTTGTTCTTTAGAGAGGGGATCTGATAAGAGTCTTCTCCTCGGGGTTTGTGTGCTTATCAAGCCAAGCACCATACTGGACTGACTGGAGTCTTGGTGCGAGTTGTAAATGCAAAATGCCTACGGGAGTCAGGCAGGTGCTAGGGTGGGGTAGGGACAGTAGGAACTGGGGAGCACACGTACTTCTGAAGTGGGCCAGATCTTCTAGGTTTCAGGAGAAACAAAATGGGGATTTGTTATGTAACCCTATCTTGAAGGAGAGGAAAAAAAAAAAAAAAAAGAAAGAAAACCGCCCGTACCCATGGTGATGCTCTACAGTGCGATTTTGCGCTGTTTCCCACCAGCAGGTGACCTCTCTAACCCCCAAGTGCTGGAATCTTGACCTTCCTTGCCTTTGATTCCCACTGGTGGTACCTTATATCTAGAATAGACCTAAAGTGTAATTAATTCAAATTGTGTATTAAAAGTCACAACAGTAGAGTTCTGTTAATCCATTTGTAGCTACATCTCCCATTGATAGAATGGATTCTAATGCCACCCTTCAGAAGGTGCTTTTAGTATTAATTGGTGGCCAAGAATTTTATACTCATAGCTATATTCATCCTAAAATGATATGTTTTTGGAAAACTTTGTTTTGTTTTTTAAAGTAGGCTCCATGCCCAGCATGGAGCCCAATGAGGAGCTTGAACTGATGACCCTGAAACTGAGGCCTGAAATGAGATCAAAAGTTGGTTGCTTAACGAACTGAGCCATCCACGTGCCCCTGGAAAACATTTTGTTTACACTTTGCTTTCCATGGAAATAATTAAGTGATGCACTCGGTGTTTTAAGCCTGTTTAAACAGTGAGTGAGTCACAGTATGAAATACATTTTGCACCATGACCCAGGGACACCCATACACCATTCATGACACAATACATAGTAAATGAAGTGCACTCTAAAATTTTGTTTCATTAAATGCACATTGCAATGTACTAAATTGATTTTATGAATCATTAATGAGTTGTGAGTAGATAGTTACGGACTTAGGACCTCCTGTTTATAGAGCCCTGCAGACTTTCCCTTGCCTGGATTATGGTACGGTCGCTAGCTCTTGTTGATCTGAGGGAGAAATACAATTTTGTAGTGAAGTTGAGACTGTCCTAGGTCATCATTGAGGAAGGGAGACAGATCAAGTTGCAGTCCTATAACGGAGGCTGTTGTCCTTGAGGTCTTGGGTTTCTCATTTGGAGATTCCTACCCATAGAACTGAGGCAGTGATGAACATCCCAGGAGGGTGTCCGTGAATGCCTGCTGGGCCTGTGTCTGAGAATTAAGTCTGACTCCAACCCACTCCTATTCTACAGATAAAGAGAAATATATCAGGGCGCCTGGGTGGCTCAGTCGGTTAAGGTCTGCCTTTGGCTCAGGTCTTGATCCCAGGGTCCTGGGATCGAGTTCTGCGTCGGACCCCCTGCTCAGCGGGGAGCCTGCTTCTCCTTCTCCCTCTGCCTGCCGCTCCCCCTGCTCGTGCTCTGTCTCTCAAATCAATAAATAAAATCTTTAAAAAAAAGAGAAATCTATCTGCCCTATTGAGGTGCTGTTGTTTAGCTTGAAATATAGATTAGTTTAATGGGAGAACTGGAAGGAGAGTTACAGAATTGTCCAGACAATTCTCTGCTTAGCAAGCCAAGCACTGTACTTTGACTGGAGTGTTTTGCCGTGATTGGTGGTATTACAGGGGAATAACGGTATAATAGCCATTTATTGATTGACTAAAGTGGTTGTTGGGGATGTAACTTTTGAGGGTGGGGGATTTGGGCCATGGAAGAAGGAAGGAAGTCCAGCCATTTTGAATCTCAGATGGTTCTGAGACAGCAGATGTTGGATCTGGAGCTGGTGAGAGTGTGAGTAGCTGGAGATTCTGAAGTCACAGGGAGATGTTGAAGTCATTTGAATTCCTTCAGTTGGTAAAGCTGGAAAGGGAAATAGTCTAGGAAGCTATTTTCAGGGGCTTTGTTGTTAACTTTAGAGTGTAAACCACCTAACCCTGAACGAGCAGTCTGAGTTAAGAATCAATTGAGATTTGACAGTGCTAAAGAAATTAAGGTCAAATAAAAAAAAAGAGAGAAATGGAGGAGGAAGAATTCGGAGAATTAAGAAGGTGTGGGAGAATTAAGAGATTATGACAAAATGGAGGCTCTTGGATTTAACTCTTTGTGCTTTTGACTCTAAAGCTGTGCTGGGTGTTGTGGGAAAGGCAAAAGAGTGACATTCAATCTCACCCATCAAGGACCTTCTAGTTTAATTGGGGAGGCGGATTAATGGACATAAAGTATTTAAATAATGTTTATTTAAACACAATATTAAAACATGCAAGGACCCTTCCTAATCTGCTAATGAGCTAGTGGTGTTGGAGGGAAAAGAAAGGAGACTGTCACTTTTTACTTTATTTGCAGATTTGTGTATAGTTTATATGGGCCTTGATGATAAAGGAACATCACTGACATTATCTTTTGAGAGAACTATATAACTTGATTTTAAGTTGAGACAATTCTCTGATTAAATTAGGTCACTCTCTCTACCAGAGACCCACCCCATTCCTTTCATCTGATGATTTTCTACTGTGTTAACCATTAATTTTACATTCTGGGATTTCTGGTCATAAGCGTTTGATTTCCTTAAAAACACAATGTTTAGAACACATGCTTCAGCCTTGATCTGATAAGATATGAGAAGAGTTATTTGTATTGGCCAGACTTTATTTATTTATTTATTTATTATTTATTTGTCAAAGAGAGAGAGAGAGAGCACAAGCAAGGGGAGAGGCAGAGGCAGAGGGAGAAGCAGACTCCCCGCTGAGCAGGGAGCCCGATGCGGGGCTCCATCCCAGGACCCCGGGATCATGACCCGAGCCGAAGGCAGACGCTTAACAGACAGTTACCAAGGCATCGGCTAAAGTCTCTCTTATCCATTCAAAGTGAATTAACTTCTAAAATAAATTATTTGGTGATATCTTTCAGTTTTGGATAACTTTATATTTCGGGTTCTTTTTAGAAGAGCGTGATACTTTAGCGATCTTGGTTTGTTATTTGTATGCTTCTTTATCAATTTAAATTAAATTTAAACTACTAATTAAATTTATCAGGTAATTTAAATTAAAAAAATTTATACATGTTAAAACGATTTAAATAATTTAAAAGTAAGCCTTCCACTCTTGGTTGCTAGTCACACAGTTCTATTCCCCAGAGGTAGCCTCTTAATTGCTAGTTTCTTACATATTCTTCCTGAGATACTCTATGCTTCTAAAACCTATATAAGTATATGTATATATTTTGGATAACAAATTTACACCTTGTACCTTTGAGTCAGAACTAAATATTTTTTGTATTTGGTAACTGTGTAGGCAAGGTTCAGTACAGGATACAGAAATCGGTAGGTATTTGAAGCAGGAAAGGATTTAATACAGGTATTTGGGGGGTGCCTGGCTGGTTCAGTTGGTAGAGCATGTGACTCATAATCTCAGGGTCGTGAGTTCAAGCCCCATGTTGGGCATGGAACCTACTTAAAAAAATAAAATTAAAAATTAAAAAATAAACCACCACAGGCAGTTGGGTCTGCCACTTCGTCTTGCAGTGGCTTGTGGGATAGTTGCAACTGGTTCAGTAGGGGACCTCCTCCCTCGGAGGCAGCTGTTAGAACTGCTACAGCCCAAACAGCCCCTGGATACCAAGGGTCTAGAGAGTGGAGGCTGCTAACTGGAGCTAGATCAAGAGGGAGCTCGATCAAGAAGTTGGCACTACACGCTCTGTTTCTTAATACCCGGGAAGCATCAAGAAAGCAGCTTCTTTTTTAAATTTTATTTTATTATGTTAATCACCATACATTGCATCATTAGTTTTTGATGTAGTGTTCCATGATTCATTGTTTGCGTATAACACCCAGTGCTCCATGCAGAACGTGCCCTCTTTAATACCCATCACCAGGCTAACCCATCCCCCCACCCCCTCCCCCTCCCCTCTAGAACCCTCAGTTTGTTTCTCAGAGTCCATCATCTCTCATGGTTCATCTCCCCCTCCACTTCCCCCCCTTCATTTTTCCCTTCCTGCTATCTTCTTCTTTTTTTTTTCTTAACATATATTGCATTATTTCTTTCAGAGGTACAGATCTGTGATTCAACAGTCTTGCACAATTCACAGCACTCACCATAGCACATACCCTTCCCAATGTCTATCACCCAGCCACCCCATCCCTCCCACCCCCCACCACTCCAGCAACCCTCAGTTTCCTGAGATTAAGAATTCCTCATATCAGTGAGGTCATATGATACATGTCTTTCTCTGATTGACTTAAGGAAAGCAGCTTCTTAACCAGTGGCAACAGCCTGAAGTCGCCATAAGCTAACTTCTGCCTTATTTCCACCTTCCGGATGTGCAAATGCCTATAATGGTGGAACCCAGTTCCCTTGGAGCTTCGTAGCAGCTAGGTGGAGGGGTAGGAAATGGTAGGCAGAATAGGTGGAAAATACAGTTTTAAGCTTTCTGACCTCTGTAAGTAGAAGAGGGTGAGTTAGATGGGGAGAGTACCAGGGAAGGCCTGTCATTGTAATACAGTTAATTGCTCACCAGTTACTTTAAAATAGGGGTTGATTTGAAGGGACCCCCCAAAGTGCTAACATTTGCTCAACTCTCTTATGCTTTTGTTTTTTATTAGGACTGGGCCGAGCCTATGCCCTGGCTTTTGCAGAAAGGGGTGCATCCGTTGTTGGTAAGTTGATACATTTTTCTTTTCTTTTCTTTTTTTTTAAGATTTTATTTATTTATTTGACAGAGAGGGACACAGCGAGAGAGGGAACACAAGCAGGGGGAGTGGGAGAGGGAGAAGCAGGCTTCCCGTGGAGCAGGGAGCCCGATGCGGGGCTCAATCCCAGGACCCTGGGATCATGACCTGAGCCGAAGGCAGATGCTTAATGACTGAGCCACCCAGGCGCCCCATTATGTTTTTCTTTTTAATGAGTAGCTGGCATGGAAAGTACTGTCCTCACAAGTCAGTCACCTTTGTCTTTACGTCAGATAGTTTGTCAAGGTCAAATTTCATCACTAATTATTTCTTCTGCCAGCAAAGCTTTTCCTCCTTGAGGCTGATTCTCTAACTTACTTTTTTAAAGTAGACTAGTTTCACAGAATTTGCAGCCAAACAGAATTGATAAAGATGGTCAGGCATTCATTGTATAAAAGGAAATTCTTGAATTTGGTAAACTGTGAGCTGTAATTTTTTGAGACAAAAGGCTGGTTCTAGATGAATCCCTTTAAGTATAAATATATTGATGAGAATAAATGCATTTTGAAGACTAGAAGTTTGGAGTCAGGGAGTCCAAAGTATTTTTATTTTTTTCTTTTTAAACCTCTTTCATCAAAATTTTTCATATGGAAGCTTTTTCCAACAAATTTTTAAAGTTTTTGTTGAAGGGACAGTTGCATGAGTTTTATTATGGATCATCAGTTGGAAGATGCTGTATTGAAGGATCACAAGGTGGGAGGTTTTAGTAATTTAAATGTTTTGGCCTGGCATGATGTGGTGTGCACGCAGGGGTGGATTTGTCTTCTGCCAAGCCTTTGTGGGCAATAATTGAATGAGTGCTCAGTGCAGGGTAGGTAGGTAGGACAGACGATAGGGCCTAATATTTATTAGTCTCTAATTATTCCTGTGCAATATTCTATTTATTGCACAGGAAATACAATATTTCCTGTGCAAAGAAGGTACTTTGTTCATTGGATCTTTTTTGTTGTTTGACATAGACTCTTCTTGGAGGGGGGGTGGGGGAGGGGACAGGTGTGTCTTTGAAATTGGTTGAATAAATTCCTATTTTTTGTGGGATTAAGATATAATCTTAGTTTATAGATTATAAACTAATAATCTGTTGGGATAAAATTGTTGGCCCACAAGGACTTCCTAATGACGGTTTTTCTACCTCTTACTAAGGAATAGAGAGACACAAATTTCCCCCAATTTGTTTATGGAGACATGCATAACAAAAAGGTTATACACCCCGGTTTTCTAGACAAACAACACCCAAGCAGGACATTTAATTATACTCTTCTTCCTCAGAGTGGATATGTAGCTTATCTTTGTGGAAGGGACACAGAATCTTTGGATGTTCCTTGTTTAAAGACATATCTACCGTCTATTAATCCAGTCTGCTTCTTGTGGCAAGCACAAATTTTGACATTGTGGTGTTTAGCCAGAGGGTGTATAGCTCAGGCCCTGTTTGCCAGATTTTCTTAAAATACTTCATTGTCAGGGTCCACAGACCCATGTTGGTACTGTTTTTGTTTTTTTTTGCTATCCGTTACTTAATATTTTTACCTTATAATTTCTGATTTATCTACATTTTTTCTGCTCAATTCTGTACATGTAAGGACTCCATTTTATCTTCTGTAGCTCCTAAAGGATTTAGAATATTTCCTGTGCAAAGAAGGTGCTTTGTTCATTGGATCTTTTTTGTTGCTTGACATAGACTCTTCCGGGAGGGGAGTTGGGGAGGGGACAGGTGTGTCTTTGAGATTGGTCAAATAAATTCCTATTTTTTGTGGGATTAAGATATAATCTTAGTTTATAAACTTATTTTGTAAAGACTTTACAGCAACGTGTGTTCGTGTGGATCAGTTTTCCTGTATTGATCTCTACTGCTGAATTTATTAAATTCAGAACAGGAGTTTTTGAGTTCTATCAAAACGATGAAGAGGTCCAGTGTGTCTTTTTATTTTGTCATTGCAGCAAGCGCTGGTGAAATCCAGCAGGACAGAAAGTTTGTATCTTGGGAAATCATTTGTCATCCTTGGCTGAAGAGCGAGATTTTGTTTGGTTAAGGGGAAAAGTTGATCTATGTGAGACGGCTTAGCTTTTGCCTGATTTTTTTCTACTGCTTTTTTTCTGCGACCTACCTGTGAACTTTCTAGACCAACCGCAAGTTGTGTTCTTCCTTGGCCACTGCTACCCCCTAGTTTAGCTTTTCAGATGCCCTGCTTCCAGCTTGCATCACACACACTACTCTTTCTCCTTTTTAGTTTTTGTTCTGCCCAGCGTATTTTTTTACATGAGTAGGAAAAAGTAGAGGAATAAATAAACCTGGGAGGGTATGACATCAGAGTATCTTGTCTATGAAAAAGTGATTCCTCCTAATTTTATGGCTAGCTCAGAGTTCCATAAGAAGTAAGACCAAAAGGATAGAGTAGCTTGTTTCTCATATAAGTCACCTTATGCTGGGTTATGCTGGGTTAACAAACAAATCTCAATGGCTGACAATAGTAAAGAATTATTGCATGCTTTTGTGGCCTTTTAGCCTCCAGTCAACTGTGTCTCTGCTCTCAGTGTCTCCCTAATTTAAGGATCCCAGCTAAAGGAGCAATGTCTGGGACATTGCTGTTCTTGGGATGGAGAAAGAATACCAGTGGATCCACTTGATGCCTCCTAAATCTCTTCTGTGATAGCATGCCCCTGCCCTTCCCATTTCGTTGGCCAGAGGAAGCCCCTGGGCCAAGCATCACAAAAGATATTCTCTAACTTCATGTTAATATGATTGCTGTGTTTATGGAAGATCTCATTCTGGTGTAAGAAGTGCTCAGCCTTTGGCTGATAGTTATAACATGGATGTTCAGTGTTGTATAAACTACATCTTACAGGAAGTGTTTGCACATGCCTGAAGTGAATGTTGACAATGGAATTGTTTTGGGCTTTTCTCAGTAGGTGAGTCATAGGCAGGACTCTTGAGTCTTGAGTGTTCTCTTGAGGGCATGAACACAAAGATGACTCAAGTGGTCCAGCAAGAAGAACCTCTCTTTTGACCATTACAATGGCAGAACCTTTTCAATTCTTGGAGTGGAGAAGTAGCACATTTGGGTAGTTGAAATCCTGATCCTTTAGATGGGCATGATTTCTTTCCGTTGCTGCCGTGGCACAGTGGTTGGTAAAGATGACTCTTAGGTTCCTGAGTCCTGATGCCAGCACCCATCTTTTCAGCCCCTGTGTGATCCTCACAGCTAAAAGGGGAGCCGTGGTGGGCACAATGCCCTGCCTTTGAAGTCAGGTCACACTTCCGGTCCTCACTGTGCTGCCTAACCACGTGACCTCTCGCGCTATTAGTAGCCACCTTATCAAACTTCGAGGATTATGGTGGGGATTAAGTGACATCAAAAACTAAAGGCCTTTGTAAAGGCAGAAGAATGGAGCCAATGGTAGGGGGACTGCCTGCTGTGTGCTAGGTGCTATGCTCAGGATCTGGATATGTCAAAGTGAGCCTGAGGTCTTGCTCACTCAAGGGCATTCTAGCCTCCTTACATAAGACATGTTTCTTTTGCAGATTCTTTTTTTTTAATTTAATTTTATTATGTTATGTTAATCACCATACAGTACATCGTTAGTTTTTGATGCAGTGTTCCATGATTCATTGTTTGTGTGTAACACCCAGTGCTCCATGCAGAACGTGCCCTCCTTAATACCCATAACCAGGCTAACCCATCCCCCCACCCCCTCCCCTCTAGAACCCTCAGTTTGTTTCTCAGAGTCCATCGTCTCTCATGGTTCGTCTCTCCCTCCAATACCCCCCCTTCATTTTTCCCTTCCTACTATCTTCTTCTCCTTCTTCTTCTTTCTTTTTTTAACATATAATGTATTATTTGTTTCAGAGGTACAGGTCTGTGATTCAAGAGTCTTTTGTAGATTCTTAAAGAAAAGAACCTGCTTTAGGCACTGATGTATTCTCTCAAGTGTAAGTTTAGTGCTTTGCTTAGTGATCAATCAAGACATACATGCTGAGACTGGTGTGGCCACTCTGGAGAAGAGTATGGCAGTTCCTCACCAAGCTCAAAATAGAGCTATGGTCTAGCAATTGCACTAGTAGGTATTTACCCAAAGAATACAAAAATACACATTCGAAGGAGTGCATGCACCCTGATGTTTAGAGCAGCATTATCATCAATAGCCAAACTGTGGAAACAGCCCAGATGCCCATCAAGTGATGAATGGATAAAGAAGACACACACACACACACACACACACACACACACACACTGGAATACTACTCCGCCATCAAAAAGAATGAAATCTTGCCATTTGCAGTGTTGTGGATGGAGCTAGAGCATGCTGTGGTAAGGGAAATGAGTCAGAGAAAGACAAATAACAGATGATTTCATTCATGTGGATTTTAAGAAACACAACGGGTGAACTTACGGGAGAGGGAAAAAGAGGGAGGGAAATAAATCATGAGAGACTCTTTCTTTTTTTAATATTTTATTTATTTATTTGACAGAGAGAGATAGCGAGAGCAGGAACACAAGCAGGGGGAGTGGGAGAGGGAGAAGCAGGCTTCCCACCGAGCAGGGGGCCCGATGCGGGGCATTGGGCATGATGAATGGGGCCAGTGTTCATGGAGTACATTCTAATATAGAGACTTGTCTTGAATAAATCTGTTCTGATGCTGTTTTAACTGCATGGCACTGATCTCAGTAAATTATTTACCCAGGCTTCAGGGCTTACCTGTTTGGTTGCACTTTGAACAATTTCCACTTGAGGGTAGTGTTCCATTGCACAATGGAGCAGTTCTTTCTTAAACATCCCGTTTGCCAATTTGCTTTTGAACTTTGCCTTACTTAGTTAAAAAGGCTCTTAAAAGACTGTTAGCTGCATGTCTTAAACTCCTGATATTTTTTACTGGTTGTTTCCTGTCATTTGAGTAATTTCATGCAAATGAACAATTAAGAGAATTTAGTCTTGAGAATCTTTTTTTTTTTTATCTCTTGAGGGATAATGTAAGCCTCTTTCCATTATTTTGTGTCTTCATACCAGTTTTTATTTGCAGTAAGACAATAAGACTACATTGGTAGAAAATGTATTCCAGTCCACCTCCTGAAAAACCTTTTTCCTTAAAAAAATTATATGAAAACATATTTGACTTAGCTGATTTTCTGTGTGGCTAGGCATTGGCTTTTTCCCTGCCTCATTCCCTTATCTTTAACCACCCAATCCCATCGAGCCTTCACCGGAATGAAAAAAAGAAACAAAAAAAAGGGATTGAGAGAGAGAGAGAAACATTCTTTAAAAGAAAAAAAAAATCTTGTTTTTTTTTCCCCCAGATGTGGCACCCATCAATTTGATAAAAGGCTTTAAATTTTAGTATACTACCATGCATTTATTAATCAGTAATTTTTTATTGTTGTTCCTCTAAATTTATATAATAATATTATAAAATATTCATTTTCAATGTAAATTATTTATTTGTACCAAGTATTTTTATTAAATTGTTTTTTTCAAGTTATTTGGAATTGGGACGCCTGGGTGGCTCAGTCGGTTAAGCATCTGCCTTCGGCTCAGGTCATGACTCTGGATCCTGGGATCGAGTCCCACATTGGGCTCCCTGCTCGGCGGGGAGCCTGCTTCTCCTCTCCCTCTGCCTGCCACTCCCCCTGCTAGTGTTCTCTATCTCTCTGTATGTCAAATAAATAAGTAAAATCTTTAAAACAAAAAAAGTTATTTGGAATTGATCTCTGTATCTCATTAGTTTTGGCGTGTTATTTTGTAAATTTTACCTTAAATTGTGACATACACTAACTTTGTTATTTGTCCCCATTATTTAGTTCTGTTGGTCTCTATGTATTTGTTGCTAAAATCTGTATATTACTCTATAGCCAACTCATACTTTAACGTTTAGTAGATGAGAAAGCCTTTGAGGACCAGCACCGTTCTCCTACGTCTTAGTGCCCCTCTGTAGTACAATTTCCTTGCGAATAGTAAACGCTTGATGAATGTTTGTATCTGTATAATTGGACACAGCGAGATGTTATGCGGTGAGTATGGTCAGTTGTTAAACATCTACCGATGGAGTCATGGTATCAACTAGTGGCTGAACACGTTTGAGTTCTGTATATAGTTTCTGATCTCTTTTAACAAATAATTTTTATTTCTTTTATGGTAGGCCCTGATATCGTTTGCTTTATGAATATTTCTCTTCTTTTTGCTGGAAGTGGGTTGAATCATGTTCTTTTGTCTTTTCAAAAAAGAAAAAAACATTGCAAAGTTAAAAATCTTGTGACCTGAACCCGCGTTTAAATATTTTTGCTGCTTCATATGTATCTCTCTCTAGAAACCAAGGGCCATGTTTGAAAGTATATATATATCTCCTGGCATGTTTCATAAGACGGGGATAGGGTCGGAAGGAACTGAAGAGATGACAGAAGAAATACACTCACAATGGGATTTTATTTCCAGTTCATATTTTGAGGTTGAGAAATGAGTTCTTGTTTGTTTTTGCATTGCAGTGAATGACTTAGGTGGGGACATCAAGGGATTGAGTAAAGGCTCCTTAGCAGCTGCTGATAAGGTTGTTGAAGAAATAAGAAGTAAAGGTGGAAAAGCTGTGGCCAACTATGGTATGATATTTGAAAGACCTATACTGTTCTTGCGTTTTCCTTCAACTAATGCTATTGTTCACCTTAATAATCATTGAGCAAATGTCTCAGCATTCCAGTGTGATTATGAGATTAGATTTTCTCTGAGTCAGCCAAATCTGTTTGGCTGTCTATTTTATATAATATATGAGGTTTTTAAAAACTTTTGGTGTAGGTTATTTCATGAGTCTTAACTTTTAGCATATTTAACATTTTTATTAATCCGTGCAAGATAAAATCAGTAAATTTATTTATTTATTTATTTTTTAAAAGATTTTATTTATTTATTTGACAGAGAGAGACACAGCGAGAGAGGGAACATAAGCAGAGGGAGTGGGAGAGGGAGAAGCAGGCTCCCTGCTGGGCAGGGAGCCCGATGCGGGGCTCGATCCCAGGATCCTGAGATCATGACCTGAGCCGAAGGCAGACGCTTAACGACTGAGCCACCCAGGCGCCCCAAAATCAGTAAATTATTAATGATGTGGATAGGAATATGCTCTTGTTCTTGATAGACCCATTTTAGCTACAGAATAACATTAGATTCTTCTTTTAAAAATTGTTTTAGAAAAATTCTTACGTAATACAGCGTAGGAAGTAAAATGCCTCTTTTCTGGTATCCAAACACTGAGTTCCATTTTGCACAAGTAATCATTGTTCTTTGTAACTTTCTTACCTTTATAAAAACATAAGAGTCAAAGTTAGGCATTAAAATAAAGCCATGAGGAAAAACAGCATTTGATGTATCCATTCTGATAGTATCTGTAAGGAACCTTCTCAAATAGATTTACTTTAAAAAAGTGAGTGCTTATTGACTTTTCTGCAAATTAGATTGTTTTTATTAGCCAGAGGTAAAATTAGATTGCCAGTCACTTGATTTTGAAATTTTTAAAGGAAAGGAAATAGGATATGATTTGTTTTGAGTGTTCTAGGGAATAATGAGACAGATATTTTAATATCTTCTTTTCTCACTGAGGATCTACAAAAGTGTTTTCAACTTTTTTTTTTTTTTAATTTCTGGAGTTTAAAAAAAAATCTATTTTATAATGCGAAAAATTCCAGACTCTCTCCCTTGCCTCTCCCCCCAGTTTTGATATGCAACCCATATCAATCAATCAAGATGCAGTTAGGAAAACAGAAGCCCCTGCAGGTGTCCACGTGTGAAGGCTTGCGTAACCATTGGAAGGGCTGGGTACGTGCATGTCAAGGGAACTGTGGATGACCTTGTCAGGTTCTCACGGCTCAGCGGTCTCTCATCTGCACCCTGCTCCAAGATTTGCCTGCATATGCAGGCTTCTCCTACTTCTTCATTCTTAGATGGGTGCCTATTTTTGGCAGATCTAACTCAGGACTGTATGGATCTCAGGGAAGGGAATATATTTCCTGGCTCCTCCCCAGTGATTGCAGAGAATATAGAGAGAGACAGTGGGATGTTGATACCAGACCATTTGACACACAACTCTGGGGATATGAGCTCTTCCCCTGGGGCTGATGAGCAGAAAAGAAGAAAGCCACTCTATTTTATTGAGCTTTGCTTTTTGTACTTAGTAAGGTACAAACAGTAGGTTTGTTTCCATATGTAGTTATAGAGCATTGAACATGCTTTTTCAAATTAAACATGTACCTCCTTGCCTCCCTTGTAAATTCTGATTTGCATCTTTAAGGGGAAGTGCCTCTGGGACTATTTAAAATTAAATACAAATTGAAGAGTTAAATACTCAGTTTATCTGCCATACTAGCCATACTACCCCATTTCAAGGGCTCAGTAGCCACACGTGGATAGTGGCTGCTGTATTACTATAGTAATAAAGACATTTCCATCCTCACAGAAAGTTGTTTTAGACAGTGTTGTTTTGGATAGTATTTGCCAAAATGTTATTTATTCCCCTCTCCATTTTTTTATTTTTATTTTTTGGTACTTTAAAGAATTGTTTTAGGGGATACATTTCCTCTGTAACATTAGATCGTCTATATTTTGATTTGTTATGTGCCTGCAAATATAAATTTGTTTTTGTGGAAATGAATTCTGTTGAGTGAGTAGTATTTGTCATGTGCTCTGATCCACAGAATTTAGAAGTTATTTCTGAAGGATATTACTGATGTTTTGTAACTAATTTTCCTTTCCTCCAGATTCGGTGGAAGCAGGAGAGAAGGTTGTGAGGACAGCACTAGAAGCTTTTGGAAGAATAGGTGATGTTTCTTTGCGTTTATGGTACTAACAGAGCAGTTCTACCTTCCTAATCAAATTTTTTTATTTTACTTTTGTTTATAAGAAATTCCTTCTTTCTTTATAGCCAAAGTTTTATTTATTTATTTATATAGCCAAGTTTTTAGATTTCCTTTACAAGTTAATTATTTTACATACCCTATCTTATTCCACAAAAGGCTCGAGGTGGTATTTTTTATGCAAAAATGTGTTGAGTTTGTTTTATATTTTTTTGGACTTAAAAACTTTAAAAAACTTATGAGCATTTTCTAGGTTATTTATGAAAATTTAATTATACCCCAAATATGTTTATAAAATAAATATTTTGGCAGTAGAGGACCCTGTGGAATCTTTCAGACAATTATGATTTGGATCATAAAGATTCAATACCTTGTGAATTAATTAAGATGAATTATATGTAATAAAAATCTTTATTTTTCAGAAAGAAGGATTTTAAATGTGTCGTTCAGTTTATCCCTCTCTAGATAGTCTTCCTGGTTTAGTTCCACACGTTCCTAGTAAAAGGTTATTTTTAAAAATTTTTTTATTTTTAGTGAAAGGTTATTGAATTACTGTAGGGAAACATTCCTGCGGATAAGTCCAATGTGTTTACATTCTGGAAGACATTAATTTTTGTAATTTGAATGTGCTCCCTCTGCCTTTCTTTTTTGGTTGTCTAGCAGATTTGTTTTTCTGGTTATGTTGGGTTGAGCTTATAAGGGACTTGTTCACATGCAGTTTGACAGAGGGATGGAGGCCGCAAAGGCATATGAAGTTACAGGGTGAGAACAGCCCTAAGATGATGGTTGAGCCTTAAAAAAAAAAAAGATTCCTTTTTTTTTTTTTTTTAATAATAATGAGAATACAATTATGTATTAAGATAGGCCACCAGTTTCTAACTCTAATAGTTTCCTTTCTGGAATTTTGACTCTTGAGTGGCAAAGAAAAATCTTAAACTTTGAACTTTCTGAGTGAATTCTGAGGTTAAGTGAGGGATGGCTTATGGTTACCGTTGAATGCTAAGAACCTAAGCGTTGGGCAACAGCTGATTCTATCAATAAGCTGGTAGAATTTTGGCATAAGGTGGAGGTGGAGACATTTACATATGTAAATTTGAGAGGAAAACTCTGACATGATGAGATACTTGTGAATCAGGTTTTTTTGTGTGTTTTTTTTGCTATAGGTATAAAATTTTGTTCTGATAGACTCTTCTGCTACTATTATTATTTACTTTTCCATGGTGGGGAGAAAAAGCCCAATTTTGAAAGAAACATGAGTTGTAAGCCCATGCAGGTTAATATGCTTGTTTTTATGTTCGTGACTTGGATTTTTTTTATATTGTAGATGTTGTGGTCAACAATGCTGGGTGAGTATTTCTTTTTTTCATTTTTGAGTAGAATAATAATGTGCATGCACAGTTTTTGGGTTTTTTAAAAGTGGATACTCCTCCTTCTAACCTATGTAATATCATTGTTTTTAGAATTCTGAGGGACAATTCTTTTGGTAGGATAAGTGACGACGACTGGGGTAAGTTGTTTGTAACATAGGTCTCTGTGGGGCAAAGCTATCCATTTAGCCTTTTACGATTTGAGGCATTTGTACATTTAAGGAAAAACCTGCTTCTACCTACTTTTGCTTCTGCTGATGTCGATGATGAACATGATGAATAAGCTTTACAGCTGAAAATGACCACAACAGTTGGAAGTAACCTATTTTCTTTTAACATTTGATAAATGAAAACTTTTAAAATCATTTGGCAGAAGTTACCTGAAAAGATTTTGTGTCTTTCAATTCGCTTTCCCCTTTATCTTCTTGAGAAGTTGTTTGCATTTTCCAGCCATATTAACTCTAACAGTCTGACACATGCTTAGCTACTTGTGCGATTTTTATTTCAAGAACAAGAGCAGGATATGGAAGGGAGTCTGGGGCCCTGAAAATGTTGGAGATCTGAGAATTGGGGGGGACCCCTAGATGTAATTTTGAGGCTTCTAATGAGTAGGGGAAAATCCCATTCAGAATGCCACGTTGGAAAGATTGAGTTTAAATAACAAATCACTTTTTATTTTCTGTTTGCTCTTCATACCTTTACAGTCTTTTCTTTTTTTTAAAGATTTTATTTATTTATTTGAGAGAGGGAAAGAGAGAAAGAGCACAAGCAGGGGGGAGGGGCAGAGGGGGAGGGAGAGGCAGACTTCCTGCTGAGCAGGGAGCCCAATGCTGGACTTGATCCCAGGACCAGCTTTATGTGTAAAATTCTTGGATGTTTGTATTAGTGGATTTTTATATAAAGTAGGCATAAATTAAAGATGGCATTGTATTTAGATGTGTGCAGGGATTACAGTAATTTTATCATAAATTATAGGGAGAATGGGTATGAACTGTTGATTGGTTACGTAATTGGGACAGAAGCAAAAATGGTTACTCAGGGAGCAATATGACAATAGTTGATTTTGAATGCTCAGTATAAAATGAACATCTTTGTATAAATAAATCATTGCTTATGTTGATTCTGAGACATGCCTATCTAATTTTTGACAAAGTATCTAATAAAAATATTGTTTTAGATATAATCCACAGGGTCCATTTGCGAGGCTCGTTCCAAGTTACCCGGGCGGCTTGGGATCATATGAAGAAACAGAAGTTTGGAAGGTAGAGTTGTGTGTGACTGTCGGGGGTGGGGGGTCAGGGATGCTGTGTGTGGGTCCTTGTGTACAGGGAGAGATAAGTGCTTTGATATTGAGGAAGATCTAGTCAGAGAAACGCAGGCTTTTAATGTACTCTTGGCATATACCCTCTCATTAAATTGGTATCACTTAGTCAAGGATTCGCTGAGCTGGCCAACTTTATATTTCTTTTCACCTCCTACTTTTCAGTTTGAACAGATTTCCTGGTGTTCTCTGATATTCTAGCAGTATACAAATGGTGAGGATTCAGCAGTACTTCATTCTCTTAACTGAAGTATAGTGATACTGTGTCCACGGGCTAACTGAGGACAGATGAGCGCTGTGTCCAGCTTGCTAGTGCTGGTCCGACCTGGGTTGGTCTTTAGAAACTGGGAGCTGTAGGAATGTGGCTCAGTCTGTGTGAGTGACTGGGAGCGTGGCAGAGCCAGGAGGTGGCTCCGTGGACTCTGTCCGCCTCCTCCTTGTTAACCTGAGGTTCACACACCTCTACTAGCAGGAAATTGTTTGTGATACCTGTTCCTCTTGGAGAGTTCTAGCTTCTCCTAACTCTCAAAGTTTCTGAAAATAAATGATAGAAATTATTTTACTTGGTCTACTAAATAGGGTGAGATGTGGTTACGTTTTGGAGATGGCATTATTTTAATATGAGGCATTTAATATTATCCAGAAAGAGAGGAGCAAAGTAATGAGAACTAAATAGTTAGAACTAATTTTTCTGATGTTTTTTACCATAACTTATATGTTGCCCTTTATTTTATGTTTATAAATATTTATTGCTGTTTTCAGTAGATAATGAATATATATTCTTGTACTTGAATTCATTTGGTCTTGATCAGGGATTCTTTTTAAAACAGTTAAATCTTGTAGTTGAATTTTGAGAGATTACTTTTATTATAAATATTACTTTGCATATATGAATCATGACTGTAGGAACCTAATGACGGTATGCAGAATTGCTTTTGACCAGCGTAATAGGACAGAAAAAGAAAATAAAAGGCTTAGAGTTGCAGTGTTATCAAAACATGGAAAAGAGATTTTGAGACATTGATTTTCCTTTTAGGATTGTTATGACTGCATCAGCTTCAGGAATTTATGGCAACTTTGGCCAGGCCAATTATAGTGCTGCAAAGCTGGGTCTTCTGGGCCTTTCAAATACCCTGGCAATTGAAGGCCAGAGAAGCAACATTCACTGTAACACCATTGCCCCTGCTGCTGGATCACGGATGACCCAAAGCATTATGCCTGAAGGTAAGTAGCTTAAATTTTGCAGTGGCTCTTAGCCACAAATCTATGCAGACTGAGCTTTGCGGAAGTATTTAATTTTCTGAATAGTTTAAAAAGTTATTTATCTTACCTTTTCAAAAAGCATTATGTATAATTTGTGTTCATTATGGAAAATTTAGAAAAGCACAAAGGAAAAAAATTTAAAATGACCCATAGTTCTACCACCCAGAGATAAACTTTCATTCTTTTTCTCTGTGTAGGTGCACATAAATACATATATATCTTTGTTTTTTTTTTTATAAAATGAAGCAATAGCATTTTGACGATTTTATAGTAATAATTATTTTTTAAAATTAATAGACTTATTTTTTAAAATTAATAGACTTATTTTTTAGAATAGTTTTAGGTTTATAGAAAAATTGGGCAAGATGGTAAAGACAGTTTTCCCTGTTATTAACATCTTGCATTAGTGCCCTACATTTGTTATAACTGATGAACCAGTATTGATCCATTATTGTTAATCAAAGTTTGTAGATTCCATTAGGCTCACTCTTTGTATTGTACAGTTGCATGGGTTTTCACAAACACATGATGTTCTGTATCCACTGTTATATACAGAATTCTATTATATAGAATAGTTTAACTGCCCTGAAAATCCCCCATGATTCACCTCATCATCCTCCCCTCTTCCCAAATGTCGGGCAGGACTGAAGTTCATTTCTTTTTACCGTTGAATAATATTCCCTGGTATGGAGGGACCATAATTTATTTATTCATTCACTGAATGAGGCACATCTTAGTTGCTTCCAGCTTTTGGCAATTATGAATAAAGTGGCTATAAACATTCATGTCCTGGTTTTTGTGTGAACATAAATTTTCAACTTGGAGTAAATACCAAGGGGCATGGTTGCTGGATTGTATGTTAACATTATTTAGCTTTGTAAGAAATTTCCAAACTGTCTTCCAAAAGGGCTGTGTCATGTTGCATTCCCACTAGCAATGAAGGAGAGTTCTCGTTGCTCCACATCTTTGCAGGCATTTATTGTTGTCCATCTTTTGCTTTTTAGTCCTTCTTATAGGTCTGTAGTGCTGTCTCATGTTTTAATTTGCAGTTCCCTAATAACATGATGTTGTGCATTTTTCCTATGCGTATTTGCAGTTTATCTATCTTTGGTGACGTGCCTGTTCACATCTTTTGCTTATTTTTAAATTGGGTGGCTTGTTATTGTCAAGTTTTTAGCACTCTTTGCATATCTTGGAAGTAAGTTCGTTATCAGATACATGTTTTGTAAATGTTTTTTTCTCAGCCTGTAGCTTATCTTTTTATTCCTTTAATCTCTTTCAGTTTTGAAGGATAATTTCACTGATACAGGTTTTTAGATTAGTAGTTTGTTTCTTTCAGCACTTAAATATCTCACTCTACCCTCCTCTTGCTTCTTACATGGTTTCTGAAGAGAAGGCTGACATAATTCTTTCCTTGTACCTATAAGCAAGGCATTTTTTCCTCTTGCAAGATTTTTCTCCTTGTTTTTTTGCAGTTTGAATATAAAATACTTAGGTGGAGATTTTTGGCAATATACTGCTTGATTGCCTGTGAACTTTTGGATCTGTAGTTTGGTGTCTTTCATTAATTTTGGAGAACTTTCAGCCATTACTACTTCAAGTATTTTTCCTGTTTCTCTCTTTCTTCTCCTTCGATATTCCCTTTATGTGCATGTTATATCTTTTGTAATTGTCCCACAGTTCTTCGATATTCTGTTCCTCTCTCAAAATTCTTTTTTATTGGGGTGGCTCATTTGGTTAAGCGTTCTGACTCTTGATTTGGGCTCAGGTAAGGATGTCAGGGTTGTGAGATCGAGCCCCACATTTGGCTCCGAGCTGGACATGGAGCCTGTGTAAGATTTTCTCTTTCCCTCTCCCTCTGCTCCTCCTCCACTGCTTGAGCACTCTGTCTGTAGAATGAATGAATGAATGAATGAATGAATAAATAAATAAATAAATTCTTTTTTATTTTTGTATTTTAGTTTGGGAAGTTTCTGTTGACATATATTTAAGCTCACTGATTCTTTTTTCATTTCCATTACATTGTTTTGGTTTATAGCATTTCCTTTTGATTTTTTCTTAGTTTTTCTCTCTCTGCTTACAGTGGCCATCTGTTGTTGCATGTTATCTACTTTTTCCATTACAGCCCTTAGCGTATGATTTATAGTTATTTTAAATTCCCATTGCTAATTCCGAAATGTTATATTTGAGTCTGGTTCTGATGCTTACTTTGTCTCTCCAGCCTGTGCTTTTTTTGCCTTTTAGCATGCCTTGAAATTTTTGTTTTTAAAGCTGAACATGATGTATCGGGGTAATAGAAAGTGAGGTAAATAGGCCTTTAGTGTGAGGATTTAAGTTTATCTTGTGAGGAATTAGGCTGTGTTTATTGTTTGCTGTAGCTTTCTGTGTTGGAGGCTTTTTTTCCTCTCTGTCCTTGTTTTTGTGTCTCCTGTTGTCTTTGGGTCTCCCTAGAAATTCCTTGTTAACTAGAATGTGTGTCTTGGAGCCTTCTAGTTATAATCCGTTGTTCCTGTACTGGAGTCCTGCTGATGTGGCTGTAAGGGGAAATGTTCTATAATCTTATGATATCTCCATTTTGTTTATTGAGTCAGAGTCCTGGGTTGTGACTTTCAGAAGAGTTTCTTAGCCAATTCTTCCCTCTCCCCTTAATTGAGACAAGAGGGCTAGAGAGGCTCCACTTGTCTAATTGCCCTTCCCCTAGGTCAGATAGGGCTCTGGTAGTCTCTCGTGAGGCTGGCCCTTTGTTAAGGAAAGCAGAATGCTCAGGTATATTTTAAAATTATTATTATTATTATTATTTTTTTTGGCCATTCTCTTCCTTTTTATTCTGTCATATTTCACAGTAAATCTTAGACTTTGTATTCCACCTAATAAATTCTTGGAAATATATCTCTGACAGATAGGGACATTATAACCATAATGCCATCATCACATTAAACGAAATAACTCTTTAACATCACCTAATACCAAATTAGTATTACAGTTTACTAAAAGATATCTTTTGAGTTGGCTTATTCCACAGGGATCCAGATAAAGTTCACAGGCATTTTGTTACTAGTTCTTGTTTTATTTAATACAATAGTTTGTTCTTTAAAAAAAGCCACTTATTTGTTGAAGAAACTAGTTCATTTGTCCTATAGACTAGTACTCATTCTTGGTGTGGGTTACCTCTGCCATTTGTAGAAAATCACTTGACCATATAGGTGTGGGTCTGTTTCTGAATAATGTGTTCTGTTCCACTGATCTCTGTGCCTGTCCTTTTACCAATGGTTTTGATTACTGTAGTAAGTCTTGAGGTCTTGTTTTTGTGAGTCCTCCAATTTTGTTCTTTCTTTCAAAATGTAAAATGTAAGTGTATGAGAGCCTGTGCTTGTACTGTTATATAAAGGATACTACATTAAATATTTACCTAACATCTCTAGAGGTAGAGATCTGTTCACATAAGTAAAAACTACATTCTCAACACAAAACAAATGTAAAACCTAAAGTTTTAGTGTTTTTTTGAAAACTTACTGCTTCCCAAAGAGTGTACAGTCTGTGGCCAAAAAAAAAAATGACTAAGGTAGAAATCTAGCAAAAGAATGATAAACAAAAAATTCTGAATAGTGTTTATCTCTTGGCATGAAGCAGAGGGGTAGATTAAAGGGTACAAAGTTAGATTGCCATGTTATCGGTAAGGCTCCAGTTCCAGGGTTGACTGGCAAGTTCATGATGATTCATTATATTTTTATGCTTTTCTTCTTCCCGGTAACACTGTGAAGTGTTAAACAGTAACACTGTTTTGCATATATGTGTAGTATTCTACTTTAAAGGAAAAAACATAAATACTTTATCATTTGGTTTGCTTGTTTTTGATCCTCATGATATTATAATATACTATATTTTTCTTTTGTGGATTCCTCTTTTTTTCCTTACAGTGTTAAATCTTTAAGATTAATTTATGATATGTATAGCTGTAGGTCATTCATTTTTACTGCTGTATAGGAGTCCATGGTGTGAATTTATCTAATTCTTATTAATGGACATCTTAATTGTTTTAAATTTATTTGCTTTTTTGAACAGTGTTGCCATTCTTTTACATGTATCCTAGATCACATGAGCAAGAATTTTTCTAGGGTGTGTACCCAAAAGTAAAATTGCTGAGTTGCAGAATATGCAAATGCTGAACTTAAACTAATGCTAAATTATTTTCACATGGGTTCAACCAATTTAACATCCACCAGTGATTATAGAGTTCTCACTGATCTCTGCTTGGGTTAAGGTCTCTAAGATTACCCTCAGGCTTGATGATTCTCTAGGGAAGTTACAGAACTCAGACAAAGCTGTTAAACTCACAGTTATGGTTTTTTACAGTAAAAGGATACAGATTAAAATCTGCAAAGGGGAAAGACACATGGGGTGAATTTCAGGAGAAACCAGCCCCAAGCTTCTAGATGTCCTGGATGCACCTTATTCTCCCAGCAGTGATGTTTGAAGAAATGTGTAAATATTGCCAACCAGGGAAGTTCACCTGAGCGTTGGTGTTCAGTCTTTTTACTGGAGGTCAGTCACGTAAGCATGCACCCCCTGTGTGACTGACCTCGGCCACTCGGACTCCAGCCCTTTGGAGCAAAGATAGGCTTTCTCATAAATCACGTTGTTGGCACAAACTGATCAAACTAGTTCAGCATGGCCCAAAGATTCAGGCATATTCTTACTAGTCAGAAAGCTCAGAGCTCATCTCCTAGGAACTGGCCAAGGGCCAGTTTTGAAGACTGACCTTTCTTGGGAGTCTGCAGAGTGTGAGCAACTCAGGCCTGTTGAGTTAACCCTTTTCCTACACCCTAGTCTTGTCCAGATCATGGCATTGTCAGTATATGCCAATCTAGTGAGTATAAAATGCTATCTCTTTGTGTTACTAATTTCTATTTCCCTGATTACTAATGGCCTCATGCTTTTATTAATATGCCTGCTTACTGGCC